CCTGTCATATTTTCAGGGAAACACGGTACATAGTTGTGACTATAATATGTATATACACGGGAGAAAAGCTCCTCAATTTTTCCACATGAATTTGTTACCAAAGGAGAAAATAAGCTGAAAAATCTCTACTGTATAAACTGTAAAATTGACAAATCATTATTACTTCTTCTCTGGAAACAGAAAGTAGTTAGTCGCATACTCACTATAACCATCCTTGAGCTTTTGGATTCTTAGTTTAGCCACCCTCTTAAACATTATCAATAAACCAGGAACCAAAGCACATGCACTTATGATTTTCGTAAAATTTGAAATACAATCCTATTTGTTTATTTTGAAATAAATTCTCTGATTTCAGCCCCATCAACCTCATATTTACTTTTGAAATTATTGCTATTAGTTTTTTTTAATCTGATAATATATTTGCAATGCAGTCTTAAACAAAAGATCAATGCACTTGACATGCAGGTAGTAAATTAGAGAGATGAGCTGAAGGGATTCCTGCCATGAAAACAGGTGAACAGTAGAAAAAGCAGAAAGGAAGAAGGATTGGAGCCATATATAATATTTTCCCTGTTAAGTATAAAAATAATAATACTTAACTCTTTGGAAAAATGTTGGTCATCACTAGTTTCTGTAGAGTATTGTTTGAAGAATATAGTACATCATTTTTTATTTCTTAGCAAAGGTAGAAATTAAGAGTATTACTTTATTTCCTCTACTATTTAAATACCCTACAGTTCAATGGAATTTTTTGTTGGTCATTTTTTGAATGATTCTTTGTTGGAGAAATTGGGGGCTATATAATATTATTTATGCTTTTATTGATACATAGTTGAGACCAGTGGTGGGTTTCAAATATTTTAGAACTTCTTCTGTAGGTGTGGCCTGCTTTGTGGGAGTGGCTTGCCGGCCATGTGACCAGGTGGGAGTGGCTTGCCAGACATGTGATGGTGGGCGTGGCCAACTTGTAAAATGTGGTGAAACTCACTTAACAATGCTCTTGCTTAGCAACCAAAATGTTGGCTCAGAAACTCTGGCATTTGA